AGCTGACACTGACTCAGGATTGATTGAGAGTGTGTGTGGGCGGGTCTTTGATACCTCGGCTCCACCCCACGATCACTACTGCACAGACTCTGACTGTAAATGATCATGTGATCTTTATTTAAAGTCGTTGATCTTTAATTACAGTCTTTGATCTTTAGTTACAGTCTTTGATCTTTAGTTACAGTCTTTGATCTTTAGTTACAGTCTAAACTTTGTTGAACAGATGTCAACTGTGGGCTGAGACATTTATTAAGAACCAATCAACAAGCTCCGTTCATCACGACAGCATGTGATTGGCTCCTGTTGTTGACCAATCCTAGAACCACATGACATGAGAGGTTTATAAAGTCTGATTATCTCTTAATAAACTGTTCATATAATCAGTTCAGCTCGAACAGCTAAAAACATTTATTTCCTTTGTGATCGTCTCTGATTTTATTTTGACAGTTCCTGTCTTGCTGTGGTGTGTCTTATTGTGAAAGTCTGGAGCAGAAATGACGTGTCTGATGTCGTCTGTGCTGCAGCTCCACCGACGACACACTGACGGTAAACATTAGCATTAGCAGCTACAGTCACAACTCCACTGGAAACCGCAGGCTAACAGCAGAAACACCCGCGACCTGACGGAGTTGAGTCCGCTGCCGGAGTGCCGCTGAGCAAACAGAGACGTGAGTGACACATCTGTCCTGAGACTCAAACATCTGGGTTCTCACCTTCCACCTCTGTTCAGCTAGCGATCATCGCTGGGAAGCGGGTTCCATTATCGGACGCGGTTTCGTCGGCGCTTGATTCAGACTCCCGGGTTTCTAACCCTAACCCTCTGTTCTGCTTTTCTACAGAATCAGTTTAACCTCAAGTCTTAAACCTCAAGTGTTAAACCTCAACCCTAACCTTCAATAATTGAATATAGATGTAGTTCACCACTGCTGGAGTTTACTAAGTCCAGTCTGTTTGAATGGCTTCGTGTCATGTGACCCACTGAGTCCAGGTCAAACAGGACATTTGATTCTTGGTTCAGAGTTAAGGTCCAATCTTGAATCTTAAAGTGAATCAGTTACAGCCAGTGAGCTGAGACACAAAATCCCTGAAGTAAAGAAAAACCTGACTCAACATGTCAGTGGTGATCAAGAGAAGAATCAGCAGGTTTTATAACGTCGTTAAAATAAATGAGTGGAGAATGTTTCTGTTTGAAACTAGAATGAACCAGTTCAGGAGAGAATCAGCGGAAAGTCACACACGTTGGATCGGCCCCTCACCGGGTTCATGGTTTGAGTTCCACTGATCGTTGTTACGTCATTTTGTTCTCAACTAATTCTACAATGTTCATCAGTAAAGATTTTATATTTGAATCATTCATCAATGTCTGATTTGTGATTTCAGTGTTTTGAGCATTATTCAGTTGATACCTCCTGATACTTCCTGATACTTCAGTTGATACTTCCTGATACTTCAGTTGATACTTCCTGATTATTCAGTTGATACTTCCCAAATGTCATAAAGAAACAAACAGGTGTATTGTCCTCTCTCTCTCTCTCTCACAGCAGCGTAATGTAAGGCGATGCTCGCTCGGCCACCATGGCCAGTGTTACGCTGCGGTACTTCTGTTATGGCTGCCTCGCCACCTCAGCCACTTGGTCCTTCCTCCTCTTCCTCTACTTCTCTCTGGGGGCGGAGCCCGGCGACAGCAGGACCCCTCTGCAGCACCGCAGCCAGCCAATCACCAGGGGCCTGGCCGGGCGGAGGGCAGGGCATCGTCTTCTGCCAGCCAATAGGGGAGTGGAGCTGTCACCAGAGATGGGTGAGAGGCTGTTCTGTGTCCAGGGGCTGCTGGGAAACTGAAATACTGTGCTGAAATTATTCATTGATCAGGTTCAGGTTCACAGACTGGACGTGGTTGGACTTTGGGGACTTGACATCAACTTATGGCCTGTGTCTTCCTGCAGGGATGATATTTAACGAGGCGGATCAGGAGGTCAGGGACACTGGTTACCACCGACACGCCTTCAACGTCCTAATCTCCACCAGACTGGGTCACCACCGGGAGCTGCCCGACACCAGAGACCCGCAGTAAGACTTTAATCCTCTAAACATTGACACACAAATGTTACAAAACAGTTTCTCCTCATGTAGTAAATACTGTCATTGTGTTGATGTGTTCAGTTACACGCAGCATCCATTGTTGGTGTCTGTCCGAGACATGTGACTCTCGGAGGTGTCTACAGTTTCCTGTTAATAGGGTTTTGTGATAGTTGTTCCTAATATTGGACAGATAATAAAGATGAGCATTGAAACTGCAGCGGCAGCAGCAGCCGGTGTGTGAGGTCTGATCTGTTAACACGGGCGCAGAAATGAAAACCAAGCCATTCCACGTCCTGTGTGTCCCGAACGTTCCTCTTGTTGAGAGTTAAGAACAGATGATGTCACATCTTGTTATGAAGAGAAGTGTGTTATTTGTGAATATGGGCTATACAAATAAAGTTTGATTGATTGATAAGGCTGTGTCACACTCCACATACATGATGTTTCATTCATACAGGAGGAGGACTAAAAGTAGTTTGTTGAAACACAGCTCAGCTTGTCCGATCTGATCAATCACCGATGATCAATCTCTGCAGGTGTCGGGATAAGGTTTATCCTCTGGCTCTACCCTCTGCCAGCGTAGTCATCTGTTTCTTCAACGAGGCGTTCTCCGCCCTGTTGAGGACCGTTCACAGCGTGCTAGACCGAACGCCGGCCTACCTGCTGCACGAGATCATCCTGGTTGATGACCACAGTGAGCTCGGTAACACCTTCAACACTTCCTGCACAATAAAAGCCTTCAAACCTAACACACCCACCTTGACATCTGTGTTCTTGTCGTTCAGACGAGCTGAAGAACGACCTGGATCGTTTGGTCAGGGAGGAGCTTCAGGGCAAAGTGAAACTGGTGAGAAACCAGAGGAGAGAAGGACTCATCAGAGGACGAATGATCGGAGCCTCACATGCTACTGGTACATCCTACATCCTTAAACTATACATCCTACGTCCTACAGCCCAGCCGAGTCTCCGTAGCCTAAATGACTCACCTGTCTGTGTCCAGGTGAGGTGCTCGTCTTCCTGGACAGTCACTGCGAGGTGAACCAGGCGTGGCTGCAGCCGCTGCTCGCCCCGATCCAGAAAGACAGTCACACCGTCGTCTGCCCCGTGATCGACATCATCTCAGCCGACACGCTCGCTTACTCGCCCTCCCCCGTCGTCAGGGGCGGCTTCAACTGGGGGCTGCACTTCAAGTGGGACCCCGTCCCCCCCTCAGAACTCAATGGGCCCGAGGGCACCACAGGTCCGATCAGGTAACCAGCTGTTAACCCGCTGATGAAACAGGTAACCAGCTCATTTAAATTGATGCCTAACCTCTGGTGCCCCTCCCCCCCAGGTCTCCCACCATGGCTGGCGGTTTATTCGCTATGAACAGAAAGTATTTCAACGAGCTCGGCCAATATGATGCTGGCATGGACATCTGGGGCGGAGAAAACCTGGAAATCTCCTTCAGGGTGAGAGCTGAGTTTTACGGACGGTCAGTAAAGATTTTGTTCACAGTTAACATGTTAGCTTAGCATTAAGCCTGGAGGCAGCGGCGAGGAGCTCCAGACAGCTGACGTCACGTCTGCATTCTACCAAACAGACCTAAGATGACATCATGAGACATCACAAGCTCTTGAGTCACATGTCGTTGCGCTGCAGGTGAGTGACAGATTCACGGACTAATGGTTGCGTACTGTGTGGCTCAGATCTGGATGTGCGGCGGTCAGCTGCTCATCATCCCCTGCTCCAGGGTCGGACATATCTTCAGGAAGCGGCGGCCGTACGGTTCACCTGGGGGGCAAGACACCATGGCCCATAATTCTCTCCGGCTAGCGCATGTATGGATGGACGAGTACAAGGTAAACACGCACACAGATCTGTGACCCAATAAGCAACTGCATTATCTTCTAACCTCACTTCCTGTTTCCTTGTGGTCCAATCAGGAGCAGTATCTGTCCCTGCGTCCAGAGCTGCGCGAGCGCAGTTACGGTGAAATCAGTGAGCGCGTGGCGTTGAGGAAGCGGCTGCAGTGTCACTCATTTCATTGGTACCTGGACACCATCTACCCTGAGATGCAGGCTGTCGCCAATGGCAACAGGCAGCAGCCGCCACTGTTCATCAACAAAGGTCTGAGGCGTCCCAAAGTCCTGCAGAGAGGACGGGTACGTGACGAAACTTCATCATGCATGTGTGATTATTGATCATGCGAGTCATACACTGATCAAACGCCATCTTACAGCTTCGTAACCTAGCAACCAGTCGTTGTCTCGTGGCCCAAGGTCGAGTCAGTCAAAAGGGCGGAGCCGTAGTCCTGCGGCCATGTGACCCCCGTGACCCCGAACAGGTGAGTCGACCACATTACCACAGACAACTAAAGCCTAGTTTATGCTTCTGCGTCACGTCGACGCCGTAGCTACGGCGTAGCTACGACGTAGACGCAGACCCCTACGCCGTAGCCTGACGTGCGCCTCCCAAAAATCCTAACTACGCGGACGTCGACGGGGACCGTAAGCGCTGTGATTGGTCCGCTCAGAACGTAAGTTCCGGCAGTTGCTTTTCCGGTCTTTCTTCCTCGTCGT